ATTTTTTGGAAGGGCGTTTCTATGTGCTTGAATGCTGCGGTACCTCTCATTAAAGTACTTAGATTAGTGGATTCGGATGAGCATCCGGCGATGGGATTCATTTACGAGGCAATGGATCGTGCGAAAGAGGAAATTTAAAGCAATTTCAATAATGTTTTCACATGATAAACTTTTAATTAGTTAAACTTATTTACTTTACTATTATATTTCTCTAAACTTTTTATTTGTTCATTAATACTCTTTATTTAATTGTGTTAGCTATGATCCTATATGGACCATCATTGATAGAAGATGGGAATCCCAACTCCATCACCCATTGCATGCTGCAGCATACTTTTCGAACCCTCAGTTTCATTACAGTCCTAATTTTCAGCCCGATGCGGAGGTTAAAATTGGGCTATACAAATGTCTTGAAAGAATGGTTCCTGATGTTAATGAGAGGGTGAAGATAGATTTGCAAATTGATGCATTCAAGAGTGCAAGAGGGCTCTTTGGCATACAAAATGCAGCCATGACTAGGAAAAAGAAATCTCCAGGTGTTTTTTTATTTTTACTATAAGTTGATTTGTATCATTTTTAATATCTTATTATTTGTTTTCATTTCATCAATTTTAAATTTATAACTAAACTTTCATGTAGCTGATTGGTGGGACTCTTTTGGTGATGAATGCCCTGAGTTGAAGAGGTTTGCAATTAGGATATTAAGTTTAGCATGCAGTTCATCGGGGTGTGAGCGAAATTGGAGTGCTTTTGAGATGGTGCATTCAAAGCGGAGGAATCGTTTGCACCAAAAGAGAATGAATGACTTGGTGTTTGTCATATACAATTTGAAATTGAGACAACGACACATGAATAGACAAACAATCGTGAATCCATTATGCTTTGATGATATCCCATCAGATGATGAATGGATAACAAAGAGAGAGACTCCGACTCTTCCAAGAGAAGGAAATTGGTTGAGTGTGCTTGATAGGAATGCTTGACATGGATGTGATTCGGATGAAGGCGAAGTGGAGGCCATTGCAAGGAATTTGGAATAAGCTTGTAAGTTTATGTACACATCTTTTAGTTTTAATTAGAAATTATAACTTTAATTTTACTTTTAATTTTTTTGTTTACTCTAACTTAGGTCGTGATCATATTGGTAAAGAACATGATGAAGTTCATGAAGTAAGTGATGATGATGCTATGGATCAAAACATGGATGCTTGAAGGGATTTTGATCATGACTTTGAAGATGCTACTATTGGTGAAGACATTGAGGACTTGGATGGCACCGGGGGTGGTGATGATGTGGCAATGATTAATGTTGATTGTGGCAATAATGATGATAATTTCGGCGACAATAATGACTTATTATAGTCTTTTATTTGTTCTTCCTTTATTTAGTTTGTTTTTTTTTCATTAAGAAACAATGACAATGGTGTGCAAGTGTTGGTATTTGGTTTTATTATGTTTTTGACTTCTTTTTTTGAAAAAAAAATGTTTGAATGCGACATTGAATTACTATATTTCTTTTTTGGGGACTTATTCTATATATATTTTGATAATATTATTTAGTCATATAAAAATTATTGCATTTTTTTATCATTTTAGTAGGATCTTACGATCCTCAATCCGATCCTACAATCCGATCCATGAGACCCTCTCACCGATCCTATGTAGGATCCCAATTTTAACAACCATGGCATTATATGGCCGCAATGATTTTTCTTGACAGCTGATTTTGGTAAGTTGGATTAAAAATGGATTTACTTAACCTAGGTTTGAATGTATGCTATTAAATTGATGAGGTAATGTAACATTAAATTGACAAATATATCTGACTTCCAAGTCTAAAGCTCCACAAATCGTTTGAGTGATAGCTTTTTGTTTTTTGTTTTTTTTGGTACAAGGAACAAAATCCACTATTTAAGTGGTTACATGGGTTCAATCCCAACAAAAAAAAGAAAAAAAAAAGAAAAAAAAAAGTTTATATGGGAGTGCCTTTAGGCACGGGTTATGCACTAGTATATACATATATCAAAACAAGCTCAGTTCAACCTTAGCCATTAACACAAGCATTGTTTCTTACCCTTCGCCACTCTTACAGCTTCTTCTCTAATCCAATGCAGTAGCTATAAGCTCCGCTATAGTTATACTATAGAAATATGTGTAGAAAATAATGCAGTTGCTAACCTTTGATAATGCTATATCTTGTGTTAAATTTGGCACAAGATTTAGTAGATTGCTAAATGTGTCAGTTCACCAACAAGAGAGGAATGGACTGGCCCATAGGCTTTTTTAAATTATTATTATTTTTTATTTTGAAGTGATTGAAATGTTAGACTCTCGGTGATGTTAAATTGTGAAACTTTTATTTATTTTTATTTTCATATTAATGGCATAAAAATGTGAGGGTCTCGATGATCTTAAATTGTGTGACTTTTTAATTTTTATTTTGATAAAAAAAAATTCAAAAAAATATTGGTTGAAAAAATAAAAAAATTCGTTGGTAATTGGAAGAATGATAGTGTGGGTGTGGGTGGTAGGGGTGCAACTCGGGTAGGCTCGGTCAGCTTAGAGGTTGGCCCAGGACCAGCCCGAATTGTTTTTGGTAGTGCCTAAGCCTACCCAAGCCCAACCATCAACCCGAGCTTGGCTGCCCAAGTCTGGACCAAGCTTCATAATTTGAACTCGGGTTAGCTTGAATTTTTCGAATTTCACAAGGCAACAAACAGTGCTTCCCACAAAAATCCCAAAGTTAAAAAGCACAGATAACTTTGTTGAAAGGAAAATGACCTCAAACAAACCCATCAACAAAAAATAATAATATGCCTTTTCTTTTTGCATTTTCTCAAGAAAATCTGATATCAATGCATTACAAACAAATAAATAAATATGGCCACCAAGTAAATCAGAAGTTGCTAATCATCTTCTTTATCTAATCATATACATAACATAACCAAAGAAACACAAAAATAAAAATTTACTGAATAATATATATATATATCAACTTGGAGTCAAACACAAGTAGAGCACAAGCATAGCCCATGGCTGGTATTTCTTGCTGGTTCTCAGTATAAACACACACACACACGCACACACACACTCCCTCTCTCTCTCCCCATAATCAAACCCATTTTTCTCTCTTTGTCTAGACCCAAGAACACAAAATAGAGTGGAAGAAGAAAGTCAAAATCCAACGAGTCAATCCCAAAGAAGAAGAAAGAAACAACCACACAGCGGAATGGGTGTGGCTCAACTTGGGGTCTCAAATTGCAAGACCAAGACCGTTGGAAGACGATAACCCAAACAAATATATACACAAAATTTCACTAACATAAACATATTTTGCAAATCTATTAAAAAAA